GCAATTTATCTTGTGTTTCCAAATATATTACTGACCGGGCCGACGAAATTATTTGGAAACGAGGTTTGCAAAATTGACGGAGGCCCGAGTGCGGAGCACGAGGGCCGGAGTCAAGTTTTGCAAGCCGAGTTTCCAAATAATTTCGTACGGCTTAGGCAGGGTATATTGAATTAGGGGGTAGGACCAAGTTTAGTAGGCATGATCTCAGCAATTATCTTGTTTTATATGGCGGTTTTAATTATCACAATATTATTTTTGATATTATGAAGTTTGTATATCTCGGTTTTACGAAAAATAGTAGGGCAACAAAGATAAATTTCGCGAAAAAAAATAATTTTAGTTGGAAACACCCATTCTGGTATGCAAAATTCAGTATGAAGCCCAGTATGGTGACCGTCTAGTGTGCTTCCAAGGCTGAATACCTGATATCAACAGGAGTTGTTTACTATTTTGCCTTACGTTGCTAGGTGGTTGCTAGGGAGCTAAGGATACTCTCTTGCGCGATCATTTGCACTTATTTTTCCTCATTACATCGACATGCTGCTGTTTCTGAGACCTAACTCATGCTAATAAAAAACATTTTTCTTAAAATGTGTATTTAAGTGCCGTAGTATTAACACAGCTCTGCAATTCTGCTTAAATATCTGCAAAATCTTGACTTCCCGGAAAATTGTTGGTGGTGATGGGGATCGAGCCCGTCGATGAAAAGTAAGTCAATATTCAAAGACTTCAAAACGTTATTTCTTGTTGTTCTATGAAATAGCAATGCGAAGACCGATGATAGTGCCAGTGTTGAGCTTTCCAATGAAGCATTGCAATTAGTAGTAAGGTTATTATCACCTAAGATATCTTCCATCAAATATTAGAATTCTGTCATTGTCTTGCTGTAGAACAGGGTTACTTTCAGTCTCTTGGGAACACGATTTACCGGTCTCAGATCGAAAAACACTTCAAAAAGCGGTAATAGACAATGAAATTTCCCACCTGATAGCATCTCGGGTTTTTATATATCCTGTCTAGAATTTTCATAAATCAGACGTAAAATGGCCAATTTTGTCAGATTCCGAATTTTTGCCATTGGGTCTAATGTAAAGCATGGCTACGTTCAGTCTCTTGGGAACACGATTTCCGTACCTCAGATTGAAAAACACTTCAAAAGTCGCAGATAGTAGACGATTTAATCTACAAGATAGCATCTCGCTTTTTCTGTATCTGGTCATGTATCTTCATAAAACCCTCTCAAATATAGTCAATTTAGCATTAAAGTCTATGGATTTAGAAGAATTTTCATATCCGACTAGATTTGGGCTACCATGTCTGTTGACCGGGGGCCGCGGCTTAGGTCAGTAAGATTTTTCCTACATGCCGCATACCTATTAAAACGTTTTGACAGGTTTTGGTGACACTTATACAATTGTTTTGTCCATAATTTCCTAACAGTGATTGCGCTTCTGCTGTGGATAAGGCTTTGAAGGAAATTCGTAGAAGAAAATGCGTCAAAATACCTTACTTCAAACGGAATCGTCTCTGAAAATATTACCTCAGAATGGCACAATTGGATATCCAAGAAGGAACATAATACATAAACGATTTGGCACGACATAAGAACAGGAAGAAGATATACTATTCCTAATGATTAAACGTGAATTTTCCTGTCCTTTTGCAAGAATGTTTACTTTCTTTATGTAATCCTGCTTTGTTGATGCCCTATGGCAAAACTTTCGTGAAATACATTATATTTTCAATATTTCACATGTTTGTTTCATGGAAAGGACTACGACTATATCAAATAATAACGCAATAGCCAATAAATATAGGTATAAACTTTGGCCCAATGAATCGGTAGACATATAAAACGAAGATAAGACAACAAGCGATAATGGATTTCGGTCATAGTTTTGGCTTTGTAATTAATACAAAATATTTCAAAGCCCTGATAAACAGAGCAGATATTTTTGTTCCCAGAAAATGTTAGTTTTCTAATTTTACGATGCAAATATCATGCAATTATGATGTCAATTATACATTCCCTGGGTCAATACCTCTGGGCTGATGCGATAGGCTCTATAGTTTAGAGGTCATTGCCCTGGGCAGTAAACCCAGGCAGTAAACTTTTGTTTCCTGCCCGGCCTATCAAATAACATGGCATTTTGACACCGGCAGTTTCTTGGTCATAGTTTTACTGCCCGGCTCGTGCTGTGCTTAAGACATACCCTGGCATGTAGGAATACATCTTTTTAACAATCATTGACCCCGTTTCCATGGGCATCACTGATCCGGATCAGTGCCTCGTAAGGGATTAGGCTGCCCATGGAAACACCCGTAATCCCTTACCGCTGATCCGGATTCTAATCCAGCTTCGAAAGAAGCTGAGCCGTTACGATAGGGATTAATGTTTGACTTTTTAATTTTCTTATTTTCATGTTAATTGTTTTAATGGGCCTGGATGCATACATCACATTAGAAATATTTTATTTAAATTATACTTTTACTAAAATGATATGTTTCAAAATTTGGGCTATATTATTATAGATTTAAACCATTGGATATATTTGTTTGTGCATTCCTCCTGCACGGTGTCATGCATTCCGTTGCGCAACAGCATCCACCCATCAGTTATCTTGCTAAGATCTATTGTGCCAATATTCTTAATCTATTTGTTGGTGTTAGATGGCAAATCAATTTTGCAATCTTTTCCAGCATTTTTTCATTACCCATGTAAACCCTTACAGCACAAATGTAGACTTTCTCGATGTTGCATCATTTGCCTGTCAACTATTTTGACATATAAGTTTAGGACAAAGACTTCAGAGTGCCGCGGTGGCGCAGCGGTATGATTTTCGCTTTTTGAGCCAAAGGTCTCGGGTTCGAAACTCGGGGTCGTCCGAAACGTTTTCTGAAGTAATGAAAGACGGACGAATTGCTATGTAAATTTATTTGTTTATTTTTATTTTTTAACATGAATCGAACTGAAAAATTAGTTATTGTAGAGAGTTTGGAAGATTTTCCCAATAGCCGAGTTTGCTATCGGTATGATAAAAGAAAGCCAATCTTCAGGACGGAAGATCATAGTCGATTTTTGCACAAGACCAGGCAAAAATGTTAGCTGGAGTTTTTATTAATTGCCAAAGTGCGCCATACTCGTCCCTCCTAAGCCGATCAGTAGCGGCTGAGCTCTTATTTCACTGATCCGGATCAGTACCGGCTTTGCCCATGGAAACGGCCCCAGTCATCCGGATCAGTAGCGGCTTCACTGATCCGGATACGAATCCCCTTGCCCATGGAAACGTAGTCACTCTAACACACCAGACAGAACATCCTTTATCCGCGTTCACGGGCTGACCATTGTGAAGTCAATTCGATGACACGCCAAACGCGGCAGTCACCGTTATCTGGCAACATTGTCGCGCAGTGTGTCAGTACAAAATCGCCAGGTCATCCTGTCCTGAGACAGAGGCGCACACTTTCCATTAGCACGTGGGACTCAGAGCTGCCGGTTTGATACACAGATAAATCCGGCAGGTTGGGACCAAAGTGACGCCGAAGGCCGTATCTTGTGACGCCGAGAACTATGGATTTATGGAACGTATATAATAAGTATACATGCCTTAGATAGCCCGAGGGTACAGAACTTTTACTTCAATTTTTTCAGGGTCATCATAGGTCACGGAAGTTGTACGTACATCTTGTATCGGCAACATGACGCATGTTTTATGGTCCATTTTACTCGTAGATTCCGAAAATAATGTCTTATGTGTCACTTAGGTCATTTCGAATTTACCGGAGGTCAGGTCACTTTCAGGTCAGAAAAGGTCAAATTCTGAAAATGAAATTTTCAACAATAAAGGTGCCTATCAGATGCAATTTGAGCTCAGGAACACGATGGTGACATTTAAATTGCTGTGCGATGTCAAAACGTACTGAAATGCTTTTGAAAAATATATAATTGTAAAATTTTGACAATAATGCTAATAACTTGGCTATTTTGACAGATCTGGGCTACAACTTGCTGGAGTAGTTCATCAGTGTGTGTTCTATCACATATATTCCGATTTTTGCGGAAAATCAGATACTTTTTGAAAAAAAAAAATGAAAGAAATATTTTTTTTTTTGCAAATTGTACCAAAAAATTCAAAATTTCGAAAATTCGAGATAGCAGTTTGATAGATACGTGTATTTGGAACCCACTGAGGCAAATAAATTGGATCTAGCTTTAAAACTAGGCGCTTGAGAGCGTTTGTCGTAATTCAATATTTTGCATCAAAATCGGCCGACATTTTCGGCCAAACTATGGTAGCTAGAAAGTTGACATTTTAACACAAGGTGTCAAATTGATGCGGCTGAGGGTACCGCAAGTTTCGTGTTGATCCATCAACTAGTTTAAAAGATATTGCCGAAAAACGGGAGGAGGGCTCAAAGCCCCCCCCCCCCCCATTCATGCGCGGGTTAAATGTGTGACGGTATCAGAAGCAAAGCATTGGTACGTACATCACAAAATATCACTATGTGACCCTGTGGAAACGGGTTTTATGTTTATTTTTTGTAGTTTTACCAGGTCCGAAACCTCGATTGGATGCAATGACCACCTTGTGGTGAGAAGGCTTCATACTTTGCGTAAGAATCTGCGCAACTTGTTTCATATGCTACAGCACTTGTCCATATGATAGCAAAGGATATTACCCACATTCGAGTGGCGGGCGAACACAGCTTTCGTACAGCATTCCGCTCAGTCTTTTCTTCAATGTGATATCTGTGTTTGGATTTTACTGTTCCATAACGCCATTTATCGCCAAAAATTACGTCTATTTCTTTGAAAAAAGAGCTGCTCAAGATCTCGAAAAATAACATTTTGGACACAAGACTCTTCCACCTCTCGCAACAGCGTTCGGTTTCTGCCCGGCCCCGAAAAGCGTCAGCTCTACCTGTCCAAAATGCAATGTCACCACCTTGAGTGTCATGTGGTGGCGTCTCGCGCGGTGCCGGATCCCGGAGGAGGGGGCTCAGAGAGGAGTGGTGCCCGCCACCGACTTCTCTTTTCGACACTGCTAACACACATCGATGATACGTGAGAAAAAATGGCCGCCGGCTGTCTTGACGTGCGAAAGTACCTCACAAGTGGTGGTTCTCTCATAAAACAGCGGGCGATCGGTGGTGAGGCACAGTGTCTGCGAATTATCACGTCTAGCAGTGTCTCCACAGTAGCGGACAGCAGTCAGTGGTTTTGAGGTCGATTTAATCGACCGGCTCAGCTTCAGTTCAGTGCGAAAGGACTGTTTTTGGATTTCCTTCAGTTGGATCAAACCAGGTGAGTTGTTTCTGATCGGCGTGCAATAAATTTGCCACTGATCAGTAGCTGTGCAACAATTAAGTCTTACGATACTAATTCAATGCTTGTGTATAATAATTTGAATATACCAAAAATACATGCTTCACTACATGTTTGATTTGATTACAATTTTCAACTTTGAATAAATTGATACATGAATATAATAAAAAAAATAGGAAGGCTTCAATGTTATTACAGCTTTGGAAGGAGCTACAGGCTAAACAATAAAAATGTGTTTGGACAATTTCTGGTGAGACAATAAGAAAAGAGCGTCCAAACTTCTCTGATCTGTTGCTTAGGTAGCTTCATTGATATTGAACACATTTCCAAACGCTAATCAGCATGCAATAACGCAAAACAATACTAACTAGGACCATAGAACAACATTACAGCTCGACCATTTGCCATTTTCAACATTTTCACCCCGACTTTCCTCTGCCAACAGGAACAATGAAGCTGAGTTACGTCCTGCTGCTGGTCCTGGTTGCCATGGTAGTCGCTGACTCCACAGAGTACTACCAGGAAGAGGATTACTATCCTCAGGAGGATCCCTCCAACTACTACTACAGCAACAGGAGGCAGGGTCGGCCCAGGAGGCAGGAAGGATTCGTTGGGTCAGTAATCGAGAGGGGATGGGAGTGTTATCGAGATGCTACTCGACTAAGATCACCAAGAGCAGTTGACTCACTACATTCCATCTAATGGTTTTTATTTTTTCTTCGTAACACCTTAGGTATGATTAACCCATAGCATCACATAAACGTGTGGCTCTGGTACTCGACATTATATGAAGGCTGCTGATTTATCGCAGTACATACATCCTCAATATCGTTGACAAGAACGCCTCCTTGAACTACCAACGTCCATCTTTTCCATAAACATCTCACACTCAACTCCCCCTTGTTTTCAGAAAGCTGAGGCGTTTCTTCGGTATCGGCTCCACCCGTCGTCAGTTCACTGGGCCCGGAACGGGCACCGGAACCGGATTTACCGGAGCCGGAACCGGATTCAACGGAGCCGGAACCGGATTCAACGGAGCCGGAACCGGATTCAACGGAGTTGGCGCTGGAGGACAGTTTGCCGGACCTGCCGCCGGGTTTGCCGGGCCCGGAGTGGCGGCGGCCGGAGGTGGTGGATGTAAGTTGGCATGACACATGGAACAAGGGTGCTTTTTCTAGAGTTTGGCATTTTGACTCGTTTTTTTTTTACAAATAACATCGATAACATCATGATACATCATGTAGGAAACAAATTCTCATAAATATGTGAAGAATACATATTAAACAATATCAGCTGAAAAAAAGATCTTCTAAGAATCGCCGTTTTCTTCCATCGACTCAAAAAATTATCGTCCTGAAGAGTGTGAGTCTGACGTCCCGTTTTTCCCACAGTCCCCCTGCTGCCCATCCTGCTGGGAGGACTCGGTCTGGCCGCCCTGGCTGCCCTCATCGGAGGAATCTTCCTCGCTACTCAGCTTAACAACTCGGGCCGTGGCCTGGACACGGACGAGTGGGAGGTGGACCACTCGGTCTGGATGGACCAGCTCCATAAGGACTTCGAGGACTCGTGGAACGTAGAGTAAACGGGTCTTTGAAAAGTCAGAGTTGTGTTTTGAAATGACAAGGTTCGTATGCTACACTTTGCTTGCGAAATGTTTCGCTATGAGAACGAGTTATCAGGTTTTCTTACGAATTAGTTCAAAGTGCAATTATCGATTGTTTGGCTAATGTCGATCTTGTCTGTGATTTTACGGAGTATTTGGTATTTGACACTCCAATACTTTGCTGCTTTTCATGTTCTCTATCCCTAAAATCCAGGTTTATATGTCCATCCCTACAGTCACCTAATATTTCTTGAAAACATTTCCTTATCCCCGAATACTTACCGACTAAGTTTGGCATTATTTGAAGCACTTTCCGAATCGAGCCGGCTGCAAACTGAAACATTAAATAGCGTTTACTTTCCTGTGCAATAGACAGTGCAGCCTATTGTTCAACTTATACACAACTGTTGTTCTACAGGGTAGAAAAAATAATTCATAGTCATTCAAAAAGTTTTTATTGCGTTAGGACACCCACATCTAAAGATGCCATTTTCGTCACCGTCTTTCACCTTATGTTGCTGCAACTGCATTGTTATGCAGATGTCAGGGATAATTGTTTTTGTCTGTTTGGACCGATGTTACGCTTTGTTATTGTTGTTTTTACTTGTTGGAATGTGTTTTGTGCTGTTATCCTCATTATGAACACGTGTATATTGCTAAATATATTTTGCAAACTATAAGGTATATTGGTTTATTGCTTGAGGCCTTCAACGGTACCCACTGTACACACAACTCAACTGGATCGTCCTGGAACTAGCTGGGTGTCTGAATTTTATTTGAACGCAGTAAGGGAAAGAAGTGCCGGGCGCATGCCAAGGAAAAAAACTTTGAAACGCATTAAACACAAAAAACGACTCACAAACATTCTTTACATCAGAAACACATTACAACAGACAGCACAAGGGTAAAACGCTGACCAGAAGCAAAACAATGTTCTTGCGTTAATCACGCATTTTTATCGGTGTAAGCTTAGGTATCTGAAAAAATGCATTTGGATGGTACACAGTTTAGACTGATCCTCAAGCTCTTTGCCTCCTAAAACATCGCCATTTGGCATCTCAACCTTCAGGACCAACATTTTTCATCCTTGACCACGTTTTGATGTTCCGGGATAACGGCCACCCTACATCCAGGAAACTGTTTAAGTCAGCGTGCGATTGCAGTTCCAATACGAGCATATCTCTTCAGGGTTACCGTTTTAGTTTCTAGGCGATATGTGCCCCACCGTGACACTGGCATCACAAAGTGGTCATCACTCGGAATCATCAATCCCTCTAAGTTACCGTGGAGCAACAGGAAGTCATTCCACTCAATCCAACTTATCCCTTATCCTCTCATCCAGCATGGTTCTGAAATGGCCTCATTAGCTCCAATGGGTGTGACATACTAAGTCAAGCAGCAATGAACCTAAAAGCAGTAATCCAAGTTTCTCCCTCAGGCTTGACGCGTGACCTTCATGTCGTTGTCTAGTCACTTGGAACGGCGACACATCTCCATTTAGCTCCACATTCCGTAACATAAGATTCCGTAACGCATCGTAAACACACCATCTAACGGTGGGCGGTGAAGCAGGGCACTGAAGGGCATGAGATATGGCATGCTGCCATATCTAGTCACGTGACCACTAAGAAGTTTTCCCTCTCCCTATGCTTTCCACAGGCCAAGTCGAACCCTTGGTCACGTGCTCTGCGCAAGTGAATTTCAAGAGCCTTGATAAAAATGCCACGGGCGCTCTGTTTTCACCTTTCGCATGTCCCTGCTACGACCCAGCCCTGACCACTTTTACCTCGTCTCTGAACACGCCTCTGTTATATGACCTCGACACTGTGTGCGCCTTTGCCGTGACCCCGACCCCGCGACCTTAGTCATCAGTCTGTACCAGTCATCGGGGCTCATTGGTGCGGCTCATGTGTGGAAACCTACCCAGTGCAGGGAGTCGAATAAATAAACCAGTGAGTTGTATGAAATTGTGAGCGGACTGTGAACGGTGAAAAGGGCGACCAAGAAATGTGGACTTATTTCGTCGAACTTTAGAAGCGCACTATAGGAGCAACGCTGTTCAAGGTAATGTCAGAACGATTCCTTCACTTTGTTCCAAGACTGAGGCATGTCTACAAGTAAAGCTGCATCAAACGCATGCCTCAATAGTTTATTGTGCATTCCTGCCCTCCCCCTTAGAAAGAAAATGTAGAAAGAAAGAAAGTAGAAGCTTGTAGAAAGTGGCAATTTTAAAATGACAATTAAGCTTTTTTCGCGATGCCTCCAAACACGCTGGCGATGGAGAGCTGAAACTTGGCATACCTGATCTTTAATTCAAGCCAGAACTTTTGAAACCAACCGCATTTGTGTGGCAGGTCAGGTCACTGACATATGACGTCATAAGTGAACCTCTGCACGGTCTTCAGATGTCGCAACTTTGCAACGCCCTCAGTGCCAGAGGAGCTTTCACAGGGAGATGAAACTTACAGGGCCTTGTCTCCATTAGAGGTCTCACAACTTGAATGTCTCGGATTTTTTCCTGAACGTCACATAAGGCCAGGTCAGTTACAAGACCTCACCATTTTAAGTAAATGGGGGAAAATGAAAACTGCTATTTTGGCGCCGGGAACGATCTCAAACTATATCAACCATTCGGAATCGTGATTTCATGCTTTCTTTGAAAGTTTTGATGCTTCACTTTTGAGTTGTTGACCTTGTGTGACGTCATTTATGACTTCACTAGGGTCATAAGAGTTTTTCGTCCATAACTCCTAATCAAATTGATCTTCCGAGTCCGGCAAGCCACCAATGAACTCGGGAATGACTGCTAAATCGAATGATATGCGACATGACCTCTTTCGACCAGGTTCGTGACCTGGGGTCTCTGACCTGACCGTGACCCAAGGTCAACACCTCATGCTGACCTCACCCAAATTAAAATTATTCCATTCGACGCGCCAGAGCAAGATCGCGGCTCTGCGGCCATTTTTTTGCAAAATCATTTGCCAAAACCGGACCCTACCTTGGGCCACTTTACCTGACCTCAGAGGTCGTCAATTGACCTGAGACCTTAACCCGCGCACCGACGGGGGGCGGATATCCGCCCCCCCTGAGGTTTTTCGTGGATAGCGGGAAAACCGCGGCGCGTAGCGCCGCGAAATTTAGTACGACTATTCTCTCATCAATTTTACACATGGTGTGCAAGTTTGAACCTCATCTCTTAAGGTCAGGTCACCAGGTCACTTTGAATGACCCAACCTCAAGTCACTTTTTTGCAACTTTGTCACCGTGCCAGAGCTACAGTAGATGTCGGAGGCCTTTGAAAGTAGCAGGATGTTATTAGGTCATTAGTAGCTACAATTTGTAGGGGAGACCCGGGAGGTATGGGCCGGTTTTGTAAAAAGGCAATTTTCTTACAGTGGGCAGTGGCTATACCCGGTTTTTCACTCTGTGCACGTGAAATTGCCTCTCGCCTGCAAAGTGTGCATGATATTGGGCATCTCGGATCAACTATTTTGTCTCGAGATAACTTTCAATAAAACATGTGCTTTTTCGATCCACCAAAATACACCGGGAGGTATGGGCCATGGCCCGGGAGGTATGGGCCAGTGCCATGTTTCATATTCTTTTCTCGACAATGAGAACAATAATCGTAGCTGGTATCTACCTTGATCTCTCTTAGAGCCCAGGAACCGCATAAGCGGCCAACAGCTTACTTCATAGAGGTCAATTGGGCACATATGTATTTTGGTAAACTCAATCATGCACCATGAAATAAAATAAATAATATGTTTCTGTTCGAATGAAATTTGAAGTTAAATTTTCAACTTTGCGCGACAAAAATAAAATCTATTGAAGATGGCACTCAATGAAAGCATCTTTTTATTGACTTAGGCTCAACTGGGGTGGGTGGCCCGAACCTCCCGGTTAGGACGCCAGAATTTGCGTAGCATCTCAGCTCATAATCTTGCAAGAAAGCTTCAAATTGTCTATCCAGTCTTAATTTACATGCTTTAAACTTTATGTTAGCATTGGTCTTACATCAAAAAACGAGTCTGGTTCAAATTTATCACCAATTTTCTGTATGTACAGTATTTTACTCGAAGAGGGCAAAAACGCTTTATCACCGCTCATTGCCAAAGAAGACTGAGGAAGATTTTGAAAATCACGTGGGTTGTATAACGGAATGGCTGTTACCAGTTTACGCGGTCAAATGTGTAAAAATACGCAACACTTCTTCAAAACTGCGATGGCCCATACCTCCAGGGGGCCCATACCTCCCGGGTCTCCCCTATATCTCGGAATTTTGATGTCGGTGACCTAAGGTCAGGTCAATTTCGCGACCTCCCCATTATAAGTCAATGGGGGAAAAATCAACTCCCTGTTTATACCACTAAAACGGGTCGGAATGGCCCCATATACCATACATGACCTCATATACGATCAACCTTCAATACCTTGAGGTCTGTTTTGCTGTTGGGCAGCTGTAAGGTCATGTGACGTCATCAAAGGTCACCAAAGGTTTTTTGCCAATAACTCAGTACAGGAACAAGATACAGCCGCGTGGATGGTCTCATTGTGTTCAGCTCGTCAAGACGCATCGAATAATATACATGATGACCTCGAGGTCACGTGACCTGAGGTCAACCTTTGACCTTGACCTTTCGAGGTCAACATATATATCAATCGATGCGGATTGACGAGAGGATCACGATGATGCCCTTAGTTTGTTCCTATCCTGACTAATTCGAAAGTTATTCGAGAAATTGTAACGAATCCATGACAGATGTAAAATGACGATAATAACTCAAGTTTATTGTACAAGACAAAGCTTTCGATACATAAAGTATCTTGATCACTGTCAATGAGATATAAATATTCTACATCTCATTGACAGTGATCAAGATACTTTATGTATCGAAAGCTTTGTCTTGTACAATAAACTTGAGTTATTATCGTCATTTTACATTATTCGAGAAAAACTCTCTCCATATCTAGCGCCGCCATTTTGACTTTTTCGACCCCTGTGACGTCATCTTTGACCTGACCTGAAAATGACCTTGGTAAAAATTGTAGACCTTGTCCGTGCGTATCCGATGCCGTTTACCGCTTGTCGCTATCTTGCTTCGTTCTCGAGATCTCAGGGGGGGGGTGGTCATCCGCCCTCCCCCCGTCGGTGCGAAGTTGGCGCAGAGGTTTTGACGTCGGTGTCGGTGCGCGGGTTAACCCTCGCCGTTAAAGTCGGACACCGATCGCTGAATCTCGTAACGGCGCGCATGCTCATTTTTCCGCGACGCGCTAGCTCCATCAGGGACGAAACGGCGAGTGGGGGGGGGGGGGGTCGTACCCGCACTCGTCGGCCGGCGCGTATGTAGAATACCAATAGGTCCGGCGAGGGTCCTGCCCTGACCTAATCAACCTTGGCTTATTGCTTCAAATTTGTTGCAGTTGAATTTTTTTTTTTGCCGTTTCTCCGTTTTTCTACGACCACCTTTTTGGAATGTAAACAAAGGGAGATAATCTAAATCCTCCTGCGACAAGCGTACAGCTGAATTTTCTGAGTGCCGGTGGGTTTAGTTCTTATGTCCCTAAAAAGCTGTCATTTGGGTATAACGAGATCTTAAAAAGATGCACTGTGGTCAAACAACACGAAAAGCAAACGATAGGTGATGGATGCAAAAATGGATAATGTTCTGGACTTGAATGCTCAGTTATTAACCGTAAATTACAGCTTTGGTTATGCTGCGTCATCTATTTCAACAAAGCTACAGACCCTCGTCTTCAGTGAAACTGAACGAAGTGTAGCTCGAGCGACGGCAGCGACACCTACAGTGAAAATGCGCAAACTCCATGCTATCGCTAGCGTCAAGAAGGGCCACGGCCCACGGATTGAAGAAGGGCAATGCTTCCTACGTTACAATTGACGCTTAATGTTTCTGTTGCTATATTTTTAGAGCTTTATAGTACCAAATCTTTTGAAAAATGAATGTTCTTTTTCCAAAATAAGTCACGTGATATTGACCTGTGTCTGATTGGCGTAAAACCTAGCGATCAGTCACCTCAGTTCTAATGTGGCCTTGCCTCAGTTGACATGCGTTGCCGACCACCTTGTTGTTATATTGCCCGAGTATCGCTGGCTATCTATTCAGGCGTGATTTCTTTTCTTTAGGACCAGCCCATCTCATCCTCGATCACAATTTACTACCGGTTCTGTGTTGACATCGCACCAGCGGGCAGACGGTGAAGGCAGTGTCCAAGAAAGCGTCCTTCCAGTCACCATACTCCTTTATCTGTCATACCTCTCGGCATACCGCTTGTCATACTGTTCATCATGCTCACCACCGAGTACCTCCCTCTGATGTCATCTAACGGCCCTTGCCCAACACTGAATGGTCTAAATATCGCAATTCGCAAAAGAATCTCACCCAATAATATGTTTATAGCAATTGTGTTGTCCGATAGTTATTCGATGTTTTTTTTTTTTGCTTAAATTTTCCTGAAAAATGTCCCGAAAAAAATGTTGTGTTTCTGACTTGACGATCTATGCCATTTTCGAAATATGCTTTTGCAAATAAACAGTCAACCTGTTGTATTCATGACCAGCAATAAATAGCGTGTGACGCGAGTGTACGGGCTTCGAACAAGCGATGTGCGACACACAAAAACTTGATAAATGTCCTGTTTATGTCAAGCATATTGTACATTTGACTGGAAATCGAGTAATGCGTATGGCGACCTGACATTTTCCGTTACTTGTTTTTTTTTTTTTCAAACGTAAGCGATACGACAGTGCACACATCGCAAAAAAAGGAAGACAGATTATGAACACAAAAGTCATCGCTCCATGCTCAACAAGCCGACAGCATGTCTAACTAAAACAATCAACAGTTCTTCAGGCATCGCGATATTGCAACAATAACAAGCGTAAGCAGGTATCATACAAGATATTGTGTCATGACAAAGCGATGCAGAAGAAATAAAAGCGGTTGGTGTTATCTGTCATGTGGTTCCTAGAAGGAAATAAAAAGCGACTAGAATGCATGCCATCAATTCATAATTTCGTCCGAAGGATGTATGAGTACTTTTTGTGTGGACTGGGTACTATGTCCGATGAAGTACAAAACAATTTATGTTGGAAAGCTCAAATAAAAATATAAGAAAACAATAAGATCAACCAATGGAAAGACATAGAAGACGGCTTGAATGCGAATATGCTCACATCAGAGCCAAGGATATCGGAGAAAAAAGAAACATAAAATTGCATCAGTACCTATGTTTCAATTGCAAAGGTAAAAAATATGCGGACGATGGAGTAAATTAGGGACATTTCATAACAAATGATGGAAAGCATTTTCACAAATTAGTTTTGCCTGTTTCCTTCATAAAAGGAAAGCGCAAGCGACTTAAAATAAACAGTGCGGTGCCTGACAGGCAGACTTGAAGTTATCATGTCATGTTTAGGAAATAAATATCTATAGGAAAGACAATGACTTGATTGTGACAGTTAGGCAAGACCATACATAACATGTTAAACTTGTTGGAGCCACACACGGAAACATCACTCATGAAAATACACGCCAATCGGCGTAGTTTTTCGATGACAACATCCACACAGGTAACACAACAAGTAACAAAAGGCGACGCACGTGAGCCAACGCGACTAACTGCCGCCAATCGGTCGCCGAACGTTCATCTGCGCACACAGAAGCTTACTCGGTGCTCCACGAATCCTCGAAGTCCTTCTGTAGCTGGTTCATCCAGACCGAGTGGTCCACCTCCCACTCGTCCGTGTCCAGGCCACGGCCGGACGAGTTGAGGTCAAGACTGCCGACTGCGGCCACCAGGGCGGCGCCACCGAGCCCCACCAGCACAATCGGGAGCAGGATCGACCCCAGAGAGTCGGCTGTCGGGGTGCGGGGAGAGACGGGGTCAGAGACAAAAATGGAGACGAGAGACGCACGGTCACCACAGACAAAGTTACATTCAAAGAGTCAGCTATCGATGGCAATCAGTGGCATGTGATTTGAGGCATCCTCAAATTCAAAGGTGGTTAATGTTGAGATAGCTAGGTTAAGTGGTTAATGTTGAAACTCCAAGGATGGTTTCGAAACAATGACATCGAAGTAAAATGTGGGGAAGCCAAAGTAAAACCACGAAAGAAATAAGTCAAATATGAATGAAAGTCCCAGCAATCGGTAGAATAAGTCTGAACCCGATCTTAATCGTCAGTCGGCTTCAGTAGGTTGACGTAAAAGACGGTAAAGTATAACATTTGGTGACTAATTAGAGTGTGACCTAGAAACAGAGGCACTCAGCCCCAATAAGTGGTAAGTGGTGAGAGCTGCACAGGCGAAAATTCTATTTATCCAGGCTATTTATTTAGTGACGTCATAATTTCTGAGTTTTCGTTCAAAAAGGGCATATGTTAGAAAATCATAAAATCAGAGAATACACATACAGACATGCCGTAAACGCCATTAGACTGCAAATACCATGAACAATCAAATGGCTATCTTCGATTTTGATTATCGTTCTGTATTTTCCAAAATATTCCAAGAATCTTGGCAATTTCTCGTGACTACTTCACGACCATGATACATGCATTTCTTAAATTGAACTTTTTGAACCAAACACGTACGCCTATGATAAAATGAATGTCACCATCGCTTTCTACGCCCCAAATTACCCATAAAACATCATGTGTCACAGGCTGCGAATATCAGTTTTGATTTTCGGGGATATGTGCCTACCCGGTTGACCTGACCTTGACCCTGACCTATGCTTGACTGACCCCTACATAGATGTGACACTCTTGTAGGCCTTATATGAAGGATTGTGCACCGCTTTGACAGAGTTTATGACGAGAGGCGCCCATTGTGATGTTCTGAATTCCATGCTACTGAAAACCCGATTTCAGGTGTTTGACCTGACCTTGACCCGACCTGTGACCTCACAATTCAACTTTCAAGTACTCATCTGAATGGTATCATCGCGTTCGTTCGTTTACCGGCGGGGGCGTTTAACGCCCCCCCCCCCCCAGCAAAGGGTGGGTGGCGAAATATCCCAGCAACTGCCGGTGGACTTTGAATTGCTCGTTGCAAGAGAAAGCAATGAAAAAGTGTAGGCACTAAAAAGATTCCATTAATCCAGTTTTCTGTGACAGTTCTTAGCAAAATGATAAATTTAGGGTATTTTTGCTCTAGGGCAAGAAACAGAGCGTAACTAGAATTCCAATTCAGTCAGCCTCGTTTGATTCTTTAATTTGGCGCCATTAAGTCCTGAGAGAGTAGGTACTAACGGTAGTGTGTACAATGTACATGTCTGATTAGCTTAGCAAAATTTATCATTTTTGGACGTTCAGTTCAGTGAAGTTCAGTTTATTTTGTTCTCTTCAAAACACAAAAATAAACAGCGAAATACGTTGATACCTTCCCTATGGTGTGAGTATAATGAAGCGAAAAGCTTCTTGAAAATCATGCCAATAATTTTATACAGAGGATTACAATTTCATTGCTAATGCCGAGGCTAATGCCTTTAATTTTGGTAGTTTCTATTTTCGCGAATTCTCGGATTTCATATTCAAAGATGACATATTAGTGTTCCTTTACCGTCTTTATGTTATTCTATCAGTCGTCCATAGACGATAAAGCCCTATCTATATACTACAGTACTATAGTATTATACTATATCATCCATGAGTAGTCTATTTACATATCTGCGTTTCCTCCCTATCCACTCACCTCCGAGGACACCTCCTCCCCCGGTGGCTCCCGTGCCGGTGAACTGACGACGAACATCACCACGACCAAACAGACGGCGCACGAACCTTTGGAGGGGGGGGGGGGCGGTGACAGGAGGTCTCACTATCGTGCGGGGATCTAGGGAATATTCACAAATTTGTGAGGTGTTACCACTAGCTTGTGATCTAAATGTGATCAAAAATGCTCATACAGTTGTGTTCTATAAATATCACGATAGAAAAATAATTTTAGCTATATATGATTGTGGCTAAATACTCTAAAAAGAAAAATACCGTAGTAAAAGATGCAGTGATAAGCTGATACCAACAGAAACTTATTTTAAACCACAATTGACAGCTGACTGCCAGGTTAACCAGCTAAATTATTGTCCCTCATCACTTCCCTGTCACCACCACCAAAGTCATCTTACCCGGCCAGTCCTCCGCCTGCGCTGCGCCTCCTCTGGTAGCCGTAGTACTGGCTGGGCGCCGCAGGCTGTTCGTAATAGCCGTTGTTTTCTAAATAGTCTGCTGCCACTACTGTGAGCAGGGCAGCTAGGACGACACACCGCAGCTTCATACTATCTGTGGGAGATGGCGAGTTTGATAAATACAACGATATGGTTGTAATCTTGCTATAGGAGACATGTCTACGCTAGAGATTAGCTTGGTATTTGAGTTGTGGAGGGTCTAAGCTAGATATGTAGCACAGACCACTAGGCACCGCTTAGGATGTCGCGAGTTAGCTTATCAAGCGGCAGCTGAGGTTTTAGAAAAGCTTGCATGCCCTTGCAAGTGAATTGTAGTTCGAGAAATGAAAGGCATTTGGTTCGCTATGCCGGGTTTAACAATTTGCATGCGTTTCGCGCCTAGCAGGAGGAACAGCTAAATTCATGAGTATGCAAAAACAGCTCGCAGCTGTTAAGATAAGGGTGCTTAGCATCACTTTTATGCGTTGTTCGTTTGATATGCGATTTAAAAGTGTTTTATTTTCTTATTTCTCCTTTGATTGGCATTAAATGATGCAATCATGGTAAGCAAGATAAGAAAATAAGACGGTTATTTGCTTTCCTCATGCTGCATTCTCATGCCTGGAACTGCTTCAGTTTGGCATACTAAATAAATTATTCGCCTTATTGACAAAAATAGTATGCATGCAAGTCTTCGTGCTATCTTTCTAGCAATTTTGAATAGCAATGAGAAATACTTCAATGCTTATGGCCGTGGCCATTTATTCTCATTAGTCAAAGGGCGAAAAAGAATTTTTGCAATATCTTTGAAGACACTTTTGTATGAAAAATGCACAACATTTTAAACAGCCTGAAAAATAAATCATAATTATCTGAATGAAGCACTTCCAATATGTCGTGATGGATCGCCTGCTCCTGGACGATTTGATAATCAATTTGTGTGATCTGAAAGACTATCATACAATTTCGTGTCACACATTTTTTTAACCTCGGTATTCCGAGGTCGTCCAGAATGGTGCTTGTCCCCTTGTGATAATTCCTGTAACATGTTCTTTCCTTGTCTATCTAAAAAAAAATAACGCTTCATTCGAACATACTTCGAAAATTGTTTTGATTTGTCTCTCTTTTATTAACATATCTAAAATCTCCAAAAATTTTTTTATAATTTCTGGTGGAATATATTTTGAAAACAGCTTTCAATTAGGTTGTAAAGTGAAGCAGGAACCTTGTTAGTAGTAAGTTAACTTAAGGAAAGCAAAGTTTCGGTAAGTAATAGTTCGTGTGTGTGTGTGTGCTTTTTTGTTAGTCAGCATGACGTTCAAAAAGTTTTGGTAGAATATTTACTAATTATTCAAATGATTGAACTGTACCTACACTTGCAAAAATATTCAAAATTATCAGTGGGTATAAAAAAGCAGTAGCAGAGGTAGCTTGCATATCAGTATGCTGAGTTCTCACCTGTTTAGAATCCGACCGTTTTTCTTATATTGGCCCGCACTCGCGTGTCCTCTCGCGTCCTCCCGAGTGCGTCCTCCCTGCGCGGCGTGTCCTCCCGCCTCCCCGTGCACCTTGAGCCGTCCGACCAGCGCGTCAGCCACCGTCTCACCGACCGACACACAGCCAACTGTGCCAATCAGTGCAACCGGGCCGCTTTTATGCACAGTCGTTAAACGTCGGGGCCGTCTCTCTTCCTTGCGATTTTGGCTCACGGAGGAGCCGCCTGCAATGTCCCCGCCGGCGCCATGAGAGAGTCCCGGCGACCACAGTACTCCCAGGGCAGCCGTACGGCCGGCTCGACCTACTCCCGCCCCGATTACAGAGTGGGCAGTGTGGGCTCAGGGCACACACACACACACACACCCCAGGTGGCTGGGACGCTGAACAGGTGCCCCAGGCGGGTTGACCGTGACCGGTTAGTCAGTTGACCAGAATTAGAACGGCTGACATGCAGATTGCAGAATAAGGCATGCAGAGTTTGTGAAGTGTTGGAGAACGCATTCTGGGTTTTGGGTTTGGTGAAATGTTCTTGATTACTTTGCTAATTTCAGACGGCTATGACAAAAATAGCATCACGAGAGCACAGGGAAAAAGGGCAAATGCTTACTATGATAATAATCGACATATTTAATCGCTTACTTGTTTCAGTCAGGTGTAAGTTCAAGTGAAGCGCTGTCATAAATAAACTTTCTTTTGTACTTTTTCGATTCATATGTATCGAAACGCACCTGCGTAAGCTATCTAAATGATAAAGCTTGGCAATATTCAAGGCAAAGGCTTGCCGTGGCATTGTATTTTGGACATGTCAGAACCCAAATACTAGAAAAATTAAGCCATTCTGCATATCAGCCGGTCAGTAAAGTTGAGCTGAGCGCATAAAGTTGTTTCATCGTTCTAAAATGGCTTGCGCAGGGCCTTTCAATCTGCGGCAAAGTAATGACAGCACATGTGGTGTGTCAAAAAAGCATTTACTTCGAGCCCGCTGTGAGGATTGAGCTATTTGATCGATAAATATTCCAATGCTTCATTACCACTCGATGATTTAACTTACGAAGGCTCTTGCTGTAAATTATCACGGTGCGAAGTAAATCAGCTGGCTAATCATGCATTATCATTTTATTTTGTTGATGTCTAGGTCTGAGAATGTTCAGCCCGGCGGCCATTTCCCCGTTGGGGCTATCCAATACCGTTTGCTGCTTGTCGGTATGTTGCATGGTTTTAGGGGGGGGGAATACTCCCGCCCCCCCCCCAATGGGGGCGCGTTGCTCGGCCATAGACCTCTGTATACAGAAGTCTATGGCTCGGCAGATCCCAACGGGGCGCAGGTTTAAAATGAAAGCTATGCATTGCAAGACAAGTATGTACCGGGTGGCCCAGAAAAAACGTTCCCAACTTTAAGTCAATATTCCTCAGAAACTGATAAAGATACAACTTTGAAACTTCGAAGAGTCAATGCGGCACATATGTTCAGTAAATGGTGTGATTTTCATGCTATTCGGAAAATTACTTTTTGAACGGTTCTTCTTTCAAGCATGCCATGTAAAAAATACTTTTTTGCTCCGATGTTTACTAAAAAATGTGAGTGAACGGGTTGCTTCGAGCAGGAAACTTTCACCTTCGCACCTTCACCCCGGCACCGCAGCCTACAGCCAGGACTGCCACTGGCAGCTAGTCTCATTGATAGTGCGGGCCTTAGGATGACACATTCCCTCAGGCAACCACGATGGCTCTGTGCCAGCGGCAACATTATCGGAAGAAGTTTCCAGTGTTCTAACCAGCTTGTGGCTCAAATGCTTTCCTGGCTGACATCCCTGGGAAAAGGTAGCTTTTCAACCAGTTTTTTTTTGTCATCTGCTGGCTTTGTTGTTTTTCATGAGTTATTCTGTGGTCTTCTGGTACAGGAACCAGTCTGCTTTAGTTTGTTATCCTTATCCGGTCGATTTACTGTTTGATCTACTGAAAGGAGGGTAATCAGCAGCAGTCCATGTACCACGCCACTCCTGCTCGAAACATGATTTGGTGTTGAAACGAATGGCATCCATGAGCACCATTTTGGCTCAGTATTTGAATATTTGACACATAATTGATACAAAAATATTTAAAATAAGAACATACGTGCTGGTTTCATTCACGTGCTCTAATTTTCTATTCTTTTTTATAACATGGAACGTCTAACCCAATCATTACTATCGTTCGACATCGGCAAAAAAAGCAAAAACGTCTTGCTTAATTGAACTAAAGATTGTCAGCTTGAAAATGATGGTACAGTGTTATAATTTGGCATACCAATGCGCAAAGAAATGGCGCAACCTTGATGAAAATTTTGGCTCGTTATTTGCACACGAATTTGAGATATAGGCCTCCAAAGTTCGGAACGTTTTTTTCTGGGCCACCCGGTATATGTAAACCAATGATGGCGAGCGGCTATCCAGCTTGTCCAACACATATTGTTTGATTGCCACAACAATGTATTCACTCACGAATAACGGATATGAGCAGACGCTGTTTGAACAGCGAGTCCGATACGCAACAAAACAACAACAGCGTGTTTAACAACACAATAAAACAACAGCAACAACGCACGGCGAAACAAAACGCTAACAGATTTGTAACACACTTCACGACGCAACATGTCTAAAGAGGGAAATTATTTAACCGTAGGGATTGCACAGGCAGTGGTGCTCAATGCGTAGAGCGGGTCGAATAGTTGCCGTTTCAAGAAACAAGCCCATCAAAGATTGTTAAGTTGAAGTATTTCTGACTATGTAGTTTGGCAGAGTGCATGCCAATGTTGAGCCTTATTACGACGCTTTGAACAAAATCAGCATTGTAAAATGGTGGAGCTCGGCAATAGATGCATGAGAAAGGGCGCCTTTCGTTCTCGCTCACGAAGTGAAAATCAGGATATATAGAAGATAACGTTTGATATAATGTAAACAAGTGGAGGATATAATGTCAATAACTTGCATACCACGAGGTCTCACCCTAAAACCCTCGAATCGTTTCAAAATACATACGACGCACAAGTCAACTATTAGAGACTTGTCCAACCAGCGGTCAACCAAGCAATTCTAGTGGAATGTGAAAGAACCAATTACATAGCTTCAGTCTAGCTACGAAATTTTTCACCCTGTAGAGCTCCTTTGATGCGAAGGTCGATTCACAGTTGTGCAATATATCAGTCTGCGTGTGCCTAAAATGACCAACAATATCAAGTTCCAGCCTCATTGGTGGTGACATCATTTTGCGTTCGTTTTCCGCAACGTTCACTTTGATCATCCACTAAACAATTGTTATAACTTTTCAGAACAGTCCCGCATCACCACCAAAACGTTCTACCGTTTATTCGGTGCTCCACGAGTCTTCAAAGTCCTTCTGGAGCTGGTTCATCCAGACTGAGTGGTCCACCTCCCACTCGTCCGTGTCCAGGCCACGGCCGGACGAGGTGAGGCCGGTGGACAAGGCCGCAACCAAGCCAACGACGCCAACTATGACCACAACAACAATCACGACGACGATGGCGATGCCGAAAACTGCCAGAGAAAACAAATGGTGTCAGTGGAAGGTGCAGCCACAAAGTAAGGAGAAAACTTGAGTCGCTCCGGGAAATTACGAGTCGTTCCGAAATACACAGGGTACGCGAGTCAACTATTGCAGGTTTTGTTCCGAAACCTACAATAGCCAATGGTCATTGTCAATGCCAATGGTCAGCTAGTGGTTAACGAAACTGATTTTTTTTTTGAAAGCTTAAAGCATCGAGCTGCTTTGAAAATGTTCTATGTATATAAAATACTGATAGCTCCTTGAGCATCTACTTGTGCTTATTTAGATTTCAATGGAAACGATGAAGATAATGTGTGTTTTACTGGTTTTACTATGCTTTTCGCAATCGTGTAAGAGTTGTTTCGCTACTTTAACCACTTCATAAATTCCTAATGCATTGTATTTCATCAAAATGACTGTCACTGAACTTTTTCTTTACCATAACCTATCTGCAGCACCCCAAGAGCAGAACAAGAGAAGGATTACTCACATCCACCTCCGAGTCCAAACTGCCTCCGGTTTGCTGGGGAGAACAGGCTGCTGACAGTTCTGAAACAAAACGAAAATACACATCGTCGAAGTCTTCAAAACAGTGGCAACTCACCAGGTTATTTTTAGTTTTGTTGTCATTCCTTGGTTTCAAAATGTCGAATGTTTTTTTTTCTACCGTATGCTTATAACACGTTTCAGTGAATATTTTCTAGCGTTCATTTTCAAGCACTTTAACTTTGAGCTAATTTCTTACACAACCCACGCCCGGATCGACCTCTTCACCATGGTGGTGGTGGTGGTGGTGGGGGGGGGGGGGGTTGTTTGGCCACACCACATTATATCGGAAAGTAAGCAAGCTAGAAAAACGCGGTAAAAAAAGCACTAGATGGCTAACAATAAGATCTTTCAGAATTATAAAGAACATTTTTCAACCAGGTCATCACTGAGGTCACTGAAGGTCACCAAAGGTAAGATTATCGCGACTTTTTGTAACCGATTTTGACAACTTTTCACAAAACGGCGCATACGTTGGGAACCATTAGAGCTACAGCGCCACAGAAAAGCGCATTCGATAGCTCTTTCAAAGCCCTTTCTGATTACTGCTCTCAAATTTGACCCAAGGTCAACGATTCAGCCTCCAGAAGGCAAACACTCAAAATTGGACGTTTTTGCGGACCATGTTATTTTCTTTAACCCGCGCCCGGCTGAGGGTCCTGGATTTCCACGCCCTGCTGGGGGGGGGGGTGTTTGAACATCCCCCTTGTAACTCGGCTCCTGGGCCACGTAGCGATACGCGGAAGGCGGCGTTCGAAAGAGCGTAAAAAATAATGACGAAATCACTTCGGTCAATTTTTTGGTCAGGTCAAAGGTAAGGTCACCAGAGGTCATTGAAGGCAAAATTTCGCCGATTTCCAGGTCGAATGTCGAAAATTTCCAAGAAGCTAACGCATAACTCGGGAACCAATAGAGCTACAGCGCCGCGGAAAAGTGCATTCGAGAGCCCTATTAACGCCCTTTCTGAATAATTATCTCAGATTTGACATAACGTCAACGGTTTTGCCTGCAGGGGGCAAAAACTGCAAAAATAGCCGACTTTTTCGGAAACAGTTTTTCTG